TCAGTGCGCCCATAACCCCCCCGGACAACGAGCCTGTAACCCTTCCCTAGGATCAATAGGGGATCACCAGTGGACCTCTGACACCCCCCCGCACTGGGATGCCCGAAGTGCACACACTGGGATTCGAACCCGAGACCTTCGCTCTGATACCATGTCAGAATCCCAACCACTAGACCATTGGGATAAAAGGGCTTGTTAAGTAGCGGGTCAGTACGCCCATAACCCCCCAGGACAACGAGCATGTAACCCTTCCCTAGGATCAATCGGGGATCACCAGTGGACCTCTGACACCGTTGTTACCTCTCTGACGTAACCAGCATCAAGCAACTTCCCGCAATCCAAGCTACAACTTATTCCAATGCGCACATTATAATTCAAAGACATATATGCATTATATATACAGTCTTTGGACCATTGGAGTTTGATTTGTTATAATGTACGTCGGTGCAAATACGCAAATTAGCACAGCACATATTCTTCTTGGAGATTAGTGCTAAAACCTGGTTGGTATGTTCATGTCACCTCAATGTACCTATTGGTGGAAAGAAACCGACATAAAAAAGTTGTTGTGGTGATCAAACAGCACTAAATGCAGTTGGGCCGATCGTCGTTCCATGACAGGCTGAAACACGCAAATTGGCACAACACCTATTCTCCTTAGAGATTAGTGCTGAAACATGGCTGGTAAGTTCGTATCACCTCAATGTACCTATTGGAGGAAAGAAACAGACCTACAAAAGGTGTTACACTGATCAAGCAGCACTAAGTGCAGTCGGGCCGATCGTCGTTCCGTGATAGGCTGAAACACGCAAATTGGCACAGCACCTATCCTCCTTTGAGATTCGTGCTGAAACCTGGCTGGTAAGTTCATATCACCTCAATGTACCTATTGGTGGAAAGAAACAGACCTACAAAAGCTGTTGTACTGATCAGACTGCACTAAGTGCAGTCAGGCCGATCGTCGTTCCGTGACAGGCTGAAACACGCAAATTGGCACAGCACCTATTCTCCTTGGAGATTAGTGCTGAAACTTGGCTGGTATGTTCATATCACCTCAATGTACCTACTGGTGGAAAGAAACAGACCTAAAAAAGCTGTTGTACTGATCAAACAGCACTAAGTACAGTCAGGCCGATCATCGTTCCGTGACAGGCTGAAACACGCAAATTCGCGCAGCACCTATTCTCCTTGGAGATTAGTGCTGAAACCTGGCTAATATGTTCATATCATCTCAATGTACCTATTGGTGGAAAGAAACAGACCTAAAAAAGCTGTTGTACTGATCAAACAGCACTAAGTACAGTCAGGCCGATCGTCGTTCCGTGACAGGCTGAAACACGCAAATTCGCGCAGCACCTATTCTCTTTGGAGATTAGTGCTGAAACCTGGCTAATATGTTCATATCACCTCAATGTACCTATTGGTGGAAAGAAACAGACCTAAAAAAGCTGTTGTACTGATCAAACAGCACTGAGTACAGTCAGGCCTATCGTCGTTCCGTGACAGGCTCAAACACGCAAATTGGCACAGCACCTATTATCCTTGGAGATTAGTGCTGAAACTTGGCTGGTATGTTCATATCACCTCAGTGTACCTACTGGTGGAAAGAAACAGACCTAAAAAAGCTGTTGTACTTATCAAACATCACTAAGTACAGTCAGGCCGATCGTCGTTCCGTGACAGGCTGAAACACGCAAATTCGCGCAGCACCTATTCTCATTGGAGATCAGTGCTGAAACCTGGCTAATATGTTCATATCACCTCAGTGTACCTATTGGTGGAAAGAAACAGACCTACAAAAGCTGTTGTACTGATCAAATAGCACCAAGTACAGTCAAGTCGATCGTCGTTCCGTGACAGGCTGAAACACACAATTTTGCGCAGCACATATTATCCTTGGAGATTAGTGCTGAAACCTGGCGAATATGTTCATATAACCTCAATGTACCTATTGGTGGAAAGTAACTGTTGTACTTATCAAACAACACTAAGTACAATCATGCGATCGTCGTTTCATGACAGGCTGAAATATTTATATGGGGGTTTCGGATCGTCTCATCTTCTGCAGTCCACCAACACAGCAGTGTGAACACCGCTTCAAAATTGAAGGCGTTTGAGCGGTGTAGCTTGAATAGTTGACATCCGTATGTAGTACGAATGCGATATTGGTGAGGTTCTAGGACAGCCTTGGAACAATGCAATAAATTCTCACCGACATCTTTTAGATCGACGATGCGAGAACAGTTTTTTGGTTACTCAGGTGGTAGAAACGTATCGGAGCAGGTTGACCTTACACATAAATACATGCAGGCGACTGAAGTTATGATATTTTTATTTACACATAATTATAAAAGAAACTAGTAATTACAGTAAATAACCCTACACAGAAATCCAAACAGTCTTATTTTTTCATTGTACATATTGAATCAGAGGATGGAATTCTGCAAAAGAATCTAATCAGCAACATAAAACCTAAACAATATTGTAATTTGTTTGTACACTACACAGAAACGAAGTCCTTAGCGGGGTTTCCTGCAGGTAGAATCCTAGCCGAAAATGTTGATCGGGCGAAATGAGCGAATTCAAACACAGGAAAGCCAAACGAAGCGGACTCATTTCGTTAACAACAGCTTTTTCGTAGGTATGAATCGAAATCCAGTAGAAATCGTCCACGCAAGCTTCACGCCAACTCACGCTGTCGTTCTCCCTCCGATTCCCGAAGCGCCCACGCTGAAAGCAACTGAAAGGTACCTCTGGCGTAAGTTTGAGTCGAGCTACTTTCAAGCACCTGAAACAAAACCTACCCCTCCAACCCCCCTGTTTTTCCGATGGCTGTAATGATATTCTTTCCCTGGAACCTCTTGCGAACACCTGAACACCAGTGGATTGGACGACGAATTTCGGAAAGCGGTAACAATGTTACTGGGCAAGTTTGTGGTGACATTTTTTAGTAGGTCCACTTTTTCGGCTGGGCATCATATAAGTTAGCTTCCAAGGGGGCTGCTGTGCTGCGCCATAGAGAACTTTGAACTACTACGAAACACACACTCTCTCCATGCACAAAGGCGAACCGTTCCATACCCGCATGCGCAGCACCTCTCGTTTGCCGCCATGCCAGTGCAAACTGACAGCTGAGCCTCCCAGCTTTCCAGGCCTTTCTCACACTCCCTGAGAAACTGTTAAGAAGGTAACTTCTTCCCTGAGAGGGGGCAGTGCGCACCAATTACTAACGCCGCAGCCTGGCTGTTATGATCTGATCCTCGTCTATGCCTCATTGACTTAAAGCCTCAATGGCTCAATGCCTAAATGCCTCAATGCCTCAATGCCTAAATGCCTCAATGCCTCAATGCCTAAATGCCTCAATGCCTCAATGCCTAAATGCCTCAGTGACTTACTACCAGCTGCACTGTTGCTGCTGCCTGCTGGTTTGTCGCCCGCAGCTGATGCGCTGCAGGAGCTGCAAAAGTATTGGAGCATGAACGTTTCAAGCTGGCGAGCGGGGAGCGACTGCAAGCGAGCGCAGGGCCTCACATGCGATCGAGACGGCATGATCACCTCCCTGTGCGTCCGCTCCCTGCAGTGCTGTGCGTGCGCGCCCCTGATAACCTGTGCCGTTCCATGCTGAGCTATCAAATGCTGCTGTCCCCTGCTGCGCTGTGCGCTGTTACGAGGGGTGCTGTGCCGTGCCGTGCCGTGCCGTGCCGTGCCGTGCTGTGCTGATCTGTGCTGCGCTGCTGTGCAGAGCTGTGCCGCTGCACGTCGTGCACTGGTGTGGGTCCCGTGCCACATGGATATACATCCCATCCCACAATCTTTGTGATGCGACCACCTTCTGGCACCTCCCACTCACCCGACTGGAACTCCCTCACTTGCCATTTCCTCTCTGCAGGTTCATCAACATAACCACGCAGGCAGTTTTTCCTCGGGACACTGTTGTACTGCTAACACGCTTGACAAAGCTGTAAGGGTGTGCGCGTCTAGTGTCCGTTTTGCTCCTGCTACAACGCCGCTACCCAGGAAGACGCTGGGTATGACTGTGCTACATGTTGTACCCAATAGTTTGGGTTAGGCAATTCGAGTCTGTTTTGCTGGCTTCACTCTGTGACCTACACATGAGCGTCGGCAGATCCGGTGGCCGGTCCGAGTTGCAGGCGGGCCAGGCCGTGGTTCGCTGCGCTAAGGACCAGGACCAGGACCAGGACCAGGACCAGGACCAGGACCAGGACCAGGCCAGCCCTTAGCCAGCCCGGTGGGTGGGCCAGTGCTGGTCCGCTCCGTGGCCTGCTGCACTGAAGCCTTTTGCATTGACTCCGAAATCCGCTTCGTAGCCTGGCTGGCGTCCCCATTAGTGTGCTCGGACCGGGCCGAAGTTGGGGCCTTTCAGTGGCACGCACACACGCACATCACTTCTAGATCGTCGGCCCACATTCCCCCTCTCTTCCCGCCGCACCCCCCCCCCCCCCCCCCCCCCCCCCCTTCTCTCTCCCCTTCCCCCCTCTTTTTCTCCTCCTGATTCCGGTCCTTAGTTAGCCTTTGTCTTGTCATGCATGTATAAGAAGTTCTAGCCACTCGTTTACACAACGATTCTGCGATGGTCGGTCCAAAGCCCCCGTGGCATTGTCTTGCCCTTGCGTGCGTGCGTGCGTGCGTGCGTGCGTGCGTGCGTGCGGATGTGCGTGCGTGCGTGCGTGCTCTTGCCTCGCGCATGTTTCTACTTTGCGTTCGGTTCACTCTTCTTTCCCTGGCATGGGTGTTCAAAGAAACCCATCGGCCGTACGCACGGACTCACAACTGCCTTGATGCACTTCATGCCCGGTTGTTGTTTCAATTAAGCAGGTTGGTGGAGTGTCAGACAGGAGCAGCAGAGAGCATCCCTTCGGAGTTGACCAGAATCGCTCAAGTCACGCAGTTGTAAGCAACCCCCCCATGCATGCACAACTAACTATTGAGCGCATGGCACACACATGGTGTTGGTAATGGTGTTGGTAATGGTGTTGGTCATGGTCTTGGTAATAGTGTTGGTAATGGTGTTGGTAATGGTGTTGGTCATGGTGTTGGTAATGGTGTTGGTAATGGTGTTGGTAATGGTGTTGGTAATGGTGTTGGTAATGGTGTTGGTAATGGTGTTGGTAATTGTGTTGGTCATGGTGTTGGTCATGGTGCTGGTCATGGTGTTGGTAATGGTGTTGGTAATGGTGTTGGTCATGGTGTTGGTCATGGTGTTGGTAATGGTGTTGGTCATGGTGTTGGTCATGGTGTTGGTAATGGTGTTGGTAATGGTGTTGGTAATGGTGTTGGTCATGGTGTTGGTAATGGTGTTGGTAATGGTGTTGGTCATGGTGTTGGTCATGGTGTTGGTAATGGTGTTGGTCATGGTGTTGGTAATGGTGTTGGTCATGGTGTTGGTAATGGTGTTGGTCATGGTGTTGGTAATGGTGTTGGTAATGGTGTTGGTCATGGTGTTGGTAATGGTGTTGGTAATGGTGTTGGTCATGGTGTTGGTCATGGTGTTGGTAATGGTGTTGGTCATAGTGTTGGTAATGGTGTTGGTAATGGTGTTGGTAATGGTGTTGGTAATGGTGTTGGTAATGGTGTTGGTCATGGTGTTGGTAATGGTGTTGGTAATGGTGTTGGTCATGGTGTTGGTAATGGTGTTGGTAATGGTGTTGGTCATGGTGTTGGTCATGGTGTTGGTAATGGTGTTGGTCATGGTGTTGGTAATGGTGTTGGTAATGGTGTTGGTAATGGTGTTGGTAATGGTGTTGGTAATGGTGTTGGTCATGGTGTTGGTCATGGTGTTGGTAATGGTGTTGGTAATGGTGTTGGTCATGGTGTTGGTCATGGTGTTGGTAATGGTGTTGGTCATGGTGTTGGTCATGGTGTTGGTAATGGTGTTGGTAATGGTGTTGGTAATGGTGTTGGTCATGGTGTTGGTAACGGTGTTGGTTATGGTGTTGGTAATGGTGTTGGTCATGGTGTTGGTAATGGTGTTGGTCATGGTGTTGGTCATGGTGTTGGTAATGGTGTTGGTAATGGTGTTGGTAATGGTGTTGGTCATGGTGTTGGTAATGGTGTTGGTCATGGTGTTGGTAATGGTGTTGGTCATGGTGTTGGTAATGGTGTTGGTCATGGTGTTGGTAATGGTGTTGGTCATGGTGTTGGTCATGGTGTTGGTAATGGTGTTGGTCATGGTGTTGGTAATGGTGTTGGTAATGGTGTTGGTCATGGTGTTGGTAATGGTGTTGGTAATGGTGTTGGTCATGATTTTGTGCGGCACCACACATGGCATGCATGTCATGTCATGTCATCTCTGGCAGTCATTGGAAAATGCGTCTTCTTTCCTCTTCGTCTCTTACTCTGTCAACAGGAAAATGAGCAATTGTGGCTTCGAAACCGCGATTGCTGAGTTGACCCAGATCACCAGGCTCGTGGATTTGTAAGCTCTATGCCCCTTACGCACGCCCCTTCTCCACTTCATTCCCCACGCCCCTTCTCCGCACCCACTACTGGTTTCCCACATTCTTGATGTGCGGGTGTCACATACATGGTGCATAACTAGATACGGATTTAAGCACAAGCGGCCCCACAACCCTTCTGGTCCGTGGGCGGCTATAACAGGTGAAGCAACCGGGCTGACTCTTGCATGATAGTTCCTGTTTTTATCCAAGGTTTTATTCTGCTCTTCAAGCGCGTGTAACAATACATGGTCAAAGTGACGAGTCGAGCAAAACTCGACTCGTCCATGCTCTTGCTCGACGAGCTTTTGCCCCGAGTCGAGCAAAACTCTGACGAGCAATTTTCAACATTTTGCATACTCGTGACTCGTCGTTTTTGGGCATGCTCGGGCGAGATTAGGAGAAAACTCGTCCGAGCACAAGAAATGCTCGACTCGCCACTCGCAAGCACAAGGTTACCACGGACGCGTCCAGCTAGCTATGTAGGGAATATCGGAGTAGACTAGCGGGGGAGGGAAGGGGGTTGTGCGATGGGCCATAGGCTGGCGGCGCAAGGAACGATGTGACTTTCTGAAGTGACGGGATCTGAATCTGGAATTTTAAAGCTGCGGTCTACATACCTCAAGCGGGAGGCAAAGGTTTATCACTTGGAAACAGGGTAACACTGTCCCCAAAAGTACCCCTTTGCGGATAAACGAAAGTCGAGGCGGAAGGAGGGAGGGGGTGGGGAAGAACAATCCCACAGCCGAAACAAGTTCGCCAGATTAGAACTTGACCCCCATCACAGTTTGTAGACCAAAACTCTGCAGACCATCGTTGCCTGTATGCTCAGTCGATAGACCCCCAGTGATTTCGGAGATTATACGTGCCACGAAACGAAACCTGCTACGCCTACCTTCACCTCGATCGCAATAGCGATTTAGGCCGCTTCGACCGCAGATTACCAGCGCAGTCAAACATACCGTCGTGTTCTGCCCTGTACTAGTCGCGCGATATCAGAGCGCCGCCTCGCCTAACAGTGGATCACCTCCTCGCCTAAGATCTTTTCGCCTCGTCGCCTTAGATCAGCTGGTCTCGTCGCCGGATATCTGCTCTCCTTATGGGCCGCGTTTCGTAAATAAATGTTGCGACGACTTAAACGGTCACCAAGCCGCTAGATGGCATGTTTTACTCGAGGACCCATTAGTAGTGAGCAGCGAGATTAGCTTTTTGTGAGAAGCGTGATATTAGAGCATGATGAGCCACTCGCTCGAAGAAATGTCAAGATTCCACGGCGCGAGGTGGTGCATGGCGTAGAAACGGGATTGCGGATTGAGTTCGTGAAAAGCGGGATCAGACAGCGGCAAGTTCCCCCTCTCCCACCGCTGTCCTGGAAGGCACTCTCACATCGCACCAGCGTGAGAGCACTTCCGCAGGCAAATCCCCCTCGCGCTGCTTCCCTGCTTCCCCTCGCGCTGCATTCCCGCTTCCCCTTGCGCTGCTTCCCCGCTTCTCCTCGCGTTACATCCCCGCTTCCCCTCGCGCTGCATCCCAGCTTCCCCTCGCGCTGCTTCCCTGCTTCCCCTCGCGCTGCTTCCCTGCTTCTCCTCGCGCTGCATCCCCGCCGCGCTGCATCCCCGCTTCCCGCCGCGCTGCATTCTTGCTGCCCCTCGCGCTGCTTCCCCGCTTCCCTCCCTGACATCTTCCCGCTTCCCTGCTCTCTTCTCCCTCCCTGCTCTCTCTTCCCTCCCTGCTCTCTTCTCCCTCCCTGCTCTCTCTTCCCTCCCTGCTCTCTCTTCCCTCCCTGCCCTCTCTTCCCTCCCTGCTCTCTCTTCCCTCCCTGCTCTCTCTTCCCTCCCTGCTCTCTCTTCCCTCTCTGCCCTCTCTTCCCTCCCTGCTCTCTCTTCCCTCCCTGCCCTCTCTTCCCTCCCTGCCCTCTCTTCCCTCCCTGCTCTCTCTTCCCTCCCTGCTCTCTCTTCCCTTCCTTCCCCTCTCCTCCCTCTCCGCTAATCGCTCAGCAGACAGGCTCTCGCAACTCGCCATCCAACCAGAGATACAATAATTCCCCCCTTCTCTTTAAATCCTCTCATACCTTCTGCGTAATTCACTCAATCCCCCCTCGCACTAATTCTCACCTCTCCCCGAATTCCCTTTCGTCCACGTTCCCCTCTCTCCTAGGAGCCATATGCCCGCTCACCCTGATTCTAACGCTCCCCCTTACTCCCATCTCTCCCTCATCCCGCTTTCTGCCTTACCCTCTCCCTTGTTCATAGCTCTCTGCATCATAAACATCTCTCCTAGTCCTAGCCCTCATCTGTGCCATATTCCCCCCGTAGGTCCCTCGTTCCCCTCTCTCCTCTTTAGAGTTCTCCCATATTCGCGCTTCTCCCAAGTCGACACGCTTCCTTCCGCCCCTTGGTCCCTTATTTGCCTCCCTTTCCCGCCCTGCCCCGTCACGCTCTCCTTTCTTCCCTCCACGCACCTCCCTCCCTGTCCACAGGCAAGCTCCCCTCTCTCCCACCACTGTCCAGGAAGGCCCTTATGAGCCCCCTCACCTCCCTTTCCCTGTCCTAAATCTTACCCTTTGTCCCCCCCCTCCCCCCCCCTGCTTATTCCCCCACCGTTACCCCCCTGCTTACCCTTTGTTTCCCTCCTTTCTTACCCTTTCTTCCCCGCTGCTGTCCCTTTGTTTCCCCCTTCCTCCCGTCTCTCCTTTGCTCCCCTATTTCCATTCACTTTCTCCACTATCTCCCCTCCCTGCCCTTTCTTCCCAGTCCTCTCTTCCCTCCCTGTCCTCTCTTCCCTCCCTTCTCCACCTTCCCTCCCTGTCCTCTCTTCCCTCCCTGTCCTCTCTTCCCTCCCTGTCCTCTCTTCCCTCCCTGTCCTCTCTTCCCTCCCTGAACTCTCATCTCTCTATGTTCTCTCTTCCCTCTCTTCCCTCCCTGCCCTCGCTTCCCTCCCTGACCTCTCTTCCCTCCCTGCCCTCTCTTCCCTCCCGGACCTCTCTTTCCTTCCTGCCCTCTCTTCCTGCCCTGTTCTCTCTTCCCTCTCTTTCCTCCTTGGCCCCTCTTCCCTCTCTGTCCTCTCTTCCCTCCCTGCCCTCTCTCCCTTTTCTGCCTCCTCGCCTTCTCGCCTTCTCCCCACCTCGTCTTCCCGCCTCTCAGTCTACTAGCGGCAAGCCGGCCTATTCATCTCATGGCAGCATACGGTCCTAGTTTGTCATTAGTTTTGGCATTGTATGTGATTGCATGTACTGTCACCGTAAGTCTTCCCCCTTCCCTCTCCCTTGTGTGGTGCAGCTCGTCATGCATGAAGCAACCAAGCAGACAAGTTAGTTATTTTTAGGAGGATAGTGTGGTGTGGGTCTTCGCTGTATCACAAACTCGAATTGCAAGTTTCCAGTCAATTTGGGGTTTAGTATATCCAATAATAATGGCATTTATTACGGTACGTGTGGCCATTTGTAATGGTCTCCTCCTTTTGCAGCACTATTGGGTGTGGGGAACAATAACTACTCATACACTAAACTGCTTGAGGTACAAAACATCCTTTTCCTCCACTCATATTGTGGCCTCCGCACACACGTTGACTGATGTAGCTCCTGTTGAGTGGTGAGAGGCCATGCTGTGCTTATGCTCCTGCAGTCACCCCAGCTGCAGCAGCAAATTAGAGGCCTAAGCAGGTAGGAAGGAGGATGAGCAGCACGTGTGGAGGCATCCCCGCCCATGCCCTATACCCTGCATGGCGCCCCGTTGCCCTGCTGCCGCCTGCACGGCACACTCAGCCCAGCACACAGCGAAAAGAGGAGAGCGGCAGGGCAATGGCAGGGCGAAAGGAAAGCACCTCCGCAGCTCTGCCAGGTGCAGCAGGGGGATAGGAGTGGGAAATGAGTGGGAAAGAAGGAGAGGCACCCGGAGAAAAAGGGCACCCGGAGGGAGAAAGAAGGGGCAACGGAAGGGGGAGTGAGGAAAAGAGTTGGGGGGGCATGAGGGAGATGTGCAAGTCAGGTGTGCTAGGGACGGGCAGAGGAGAAGGGGATTGGAGGGATGAGGAGGAATGCGTGGGTTCGTGTGAGCGCAGTTGAGTGCGAGATGCACTTCCCTCCATTTACCCGCACCCGCCACGCCTCTGCCTCTCACAACCACGGGAATGGGAAGCAAAGTGAAAGGAAAGGATCAGAGGGGAATGGAAGGAAAGGGAGGCATGACCTTGAAGGAAGAGGAGAGCGCACCTTGGAAGGGATGAGAGAGGGGGCAGACATGGTTCTCAAAGTCAAGGTGCAACAACCGACCCAAGTCCTGCCAGCGGGAGGGCGGGGAGAGAGGAGGACAAGGGGGAGGGAGGAGGACAAGGGGGAGGGAGGAGGACAAGGGGGAGGGAGGAGGACAGGGGGGAGAGAGGAGGACAAGGGGGAGGGAGGAGGACAGGGGGGAGGGAGGAGGACAGGGGGGAGAGAGGAGGACAGAGGGGAGAGAGGAGGACAGAGGGGAGAGAGGAGGACGGAGGGGGAGGAGGACAAGTGGGGGGAAAGGATGAAGGGGGAAGAGAGGAGGATAGGGGGGAGAGAGGAGGAGGGAGTATGAGGGAGATGTGCAAGTCAGGTGTGCTAGGGACGGGCAGAGGAGAAGGGGATTGGAGGGATGAGGAGGAATGAGGTGCGGCGGGGAGGAGAGTCCGGGGAGGTGCGACCTGGGGGGAAAGGGAGGTGCGTCCTGGGGGGAAAGGGAGGTGCGCCCTGGGGGGAAAGGGAGGTTGCTTTTTGGGGGAAAAAGGAGGTGCGACCTGAGGGAAAAAGGAGGTGCGACCTGAGGGGAAAAGGAGGTGCGACCTGAGGGGAAAGGGAGGTGCGACCAGGGGGTAAGGGAATATGCGACCTAAGGTGGCGACAGCGACGCTCCGCACTCGTGGCGAGTAGACTGTCGCGGCCGCGTTTGAGCGGATGTCTCCCTTCGCGACATGGCGAGGACGCTGTGACAAAGGCGGCGCGACAAGCAGGCGATGACGCAGCGAGGCCGCCTCGTTTGTGGCTCCTAGCCGCAACGGGCAGGCGGGATGCGGCGAGGATGCCGAAGTGTGGCGAAGATTTCGCGACGTAGCTGCGACATAGAAGCGATGTTGCAAAGAGTGAGAGGGAACGCTACGGACGGCTACGAGGAGGTGCGACGAGGGCGGAATGGGAGGTGCGGATTGAGCGTAACCCACTTATCCTCTCCCTGGCCTACACAGGCTAACCCTAAACATCCACTTGCGCGCCTTGTCGACCTTGCAGCTAAGCACATCTATGCTCTGTTCGCCACAGTTGCCTACGTCCCGCAGCGCGGATCATGCTGTGTTAGGCTTGTCACCGCGTGTTTTCCAGGTAAGTAGAGTGGAGTGGGGATGGCGTGATGTGAAATTAGCGTTTAGAACTTGGAGTGTCAGGTCACGCGCTGCTATTCCACCCCCCTCCGCCGTTCCCCCAACCCTCCCCTCTCACGAAATCGGGGGGACTCGCCATCCTTGTTCGAGTTCATCGCACTAGTGTTCGAGGGATATGCTCACTTCGCAATCCAATGAAGACACGCCATAGGGTTAGCACTAAAATTGCCCCCAAAATAACCCTTTTAGAATGTAGACCGCAGCTTTAATCTGGATCTGGTGGTTGGGTTTTGTAGATTCAGTGCGGTGAAGAGAGGTAAGTGGTGGCGAATTGGTTGGGAAATCCGAGTGGCAATTTTGTTGCGAAAGGCATATTGGGTTTGCTCGACCAAAAGAAAGATCTGAGCGTAGTGATTGACAAGATCGCGAGGAAATGACAAATCGCCCTGTTTGTTTGTTTCCAATTCCTTTCGGCAGTGGTTTTGACAGCGCAACGCTTCGGCGATCGCGTCGATTTCCTTGGGGCATATTATTTTGCCATTTCCCCTTTTGGAGTCCAAAATACATATTGGGTTTGTTTTACAGGATAACTAAAATCATCTCGTCGCGTCCATCGCAAAGCGCAGCTCGGGACAAAACAAATATATACCCTCTAGGAAGGCATGCCACGTAAAGGGCATCAACCCTAAACATCATGAGGCAAGGTGTTTAGGGTTGATGCCTCCCAAAATGGCTTGCCATCCGAGTGGGTTTTAGTTTTTCCACTGGCCCTATAGTGAAACCAGGTAGACTTCGTAATTGCCCTTCTATTCATCTGGTCACGAAAAATGGGAAATAACGAGATCGACTGCCCGTGGGAATTGGACGCGATCGCGGAGCGGGTTGCTGTCAAAACCACTGCCCGTTGGAATTGGAGACAAGAAAGCATCGCGGTCCGTCATTTCCTCCAAGATCGCCGATCCGCGCGGATTAACGGGCGAAATCGCCGAACCGCGCGGATTGACGGGCGAAATCGCCGATCCGCGCGCATTTGCGGGCGAAATCGCCCACGAGTTTAAAAAACTCGTCGAGCACAAACTTTTCACGAAAATGCTCGTCGCCCAAGGCGAGCATGCGACGAGTACATAAAACTCGGCGAGTAAAACTCGCCTCGCCTCGGGCGAGTTTTTTTCAGAAAAAACCAGGCTCGTCACTCGCCACCTGACGAGCATCTTGGACGAGTCGAGCTAAAACCCCACCCTCGATGCCCATGTTGCGTGTTGGCTTGCCTGCTATCGTGTGAGCCTCCGGAATGAAACCACACATAGAGGCTTTATGTGGAGGAGACAGCAGAGGGCAAAGGGCAGAGGCAAGAGGGCTAACCCTTTTCTTTTCTTTCTCTCTTTCTTTCTGTGTGATTCATTCTAACCGCCAACCTTATTGGCCCCAGAGAGCTTTCGTCTAACGGGATGCTGTCAGTGTGGCCTCTTGATTACGTGAAACACACTCGTCTCATGAAGCTGCATGTATCTTCTCTTTGCTAGAACCGAGCACCCTGATCGGGACGCCTTTAGAAATACGTTGGACAAAACTGTATGGCGTCGATTTTAGCACCTGCGGACACCATGTGTAGCAGAATATAAATCATTGCTTCCTCACTGCACATCGTGTGTGTGCCACAAAAAATATACTCTGTTGTCTTCTTGCTCTTCCTGCTCCTGCTCATTCTCACTCGGCTTACGGCTCGTTCCATTCTGTAGCCGTTTGCCTGCCCATGTCTTTGCCCACTCTCACACTCGAGGCTCCTTCTCAACTGATGATGCTGTGCAGACTTTCAGCATCATGCCCTGCAAGTTTTTTACTCAACTAGAAACCATCAGCTGGTCACAGTAATGGCATTTTTCGATCTCACCCCACCATCATCACCACACAATCGACACACTGCTGCCTCCCAGGATCCATCCATCCATCCATCCATCCATCCATCCATCCATCCATCCATCCATCCATCCATCCATCCATCCATCCATCCATCCATCCATCCATCCATCCATCCATCCATCCATCCATCCATCCATCCATCCATCCTCATCCTCATTCTCCTGGCGTGCTCTCTCAAACGGATATATGGCAGGAATCTGAGTTCCAACCTACTCACGTCTGAAAAGATAACAGAGCTTACAAGTCTCACAAGTCTCACAACGCTGTCAATCAATCACATCTACGCATACATGATAATACCCCATCCCACCCACCAGCTCGCATTCAGCACACATGATAGTCTGCTCCGTCCATGGCTCGCAATGCAATTACTCGTGCTCGTGACCATCGTGCTCGTGACCATCGTGCACATAATAAGCAGGTGGCTTGACTGACATGCACACACGCGCACCATGCGCGCTGGCGTAGCATGCGCTGCGAGATGCCTCCATGCGTTTTAAACTTTGCACATTTGTTGCGTGCCTGTCTCTTGGGCCGCCTCAAGAGTCCACACCACTGCACACATTCATTGCGCGCGTCTGTGTCATGACTCGCGTTCTGTGTGACCTCGCTCTGACTGTCTCTCCATTTCAATCGTGTGCTGCCTCCTCATATGCCTTACTTTGGCGCAAATGTTTGCTGGTGAGTGGGGATGGCATCACGGCATCATGACATCACGACATCATGACATTTGGCATGATGACATGATGGCATTATGGCATCATGGCATCGTGGCATTGTGGCATCATGGCATCATGGCATCATGGCATCATGGCATGGAAGACCAGCGATCTGTCTGCCAACGCATTCTAGGGCAAGACTCTGCTTCAGGCATTGGCGGGCTTACCCAACTTGCGGTTCCTGTACGTGTTCTTGGGGATGTTCAATGCATCTACATTGGAGTTGTTTTTATTTTTATTTTTTCGTAGGAGCAACTCCAGTATGGATGTTGGTTACCATTCACTGCATCTAGTGCTGTACTCCTGCCACTGCTGTGCGGTTGCCCCTCCCCCTCCCTCAAAACCCACCCATCCAACCCTCTCTTCTTGTTCCACACCAAAGCAATCTCTGCCATGCAAGATTTGTTCTGCGCACGGCGCATAGTTTGTGAAACTTCAACCATCACTGCTCCTACTATTGTGCCGCCATATCCTGCTGCACCTTGCTTGCCCCAAGTTCACAGAATCAGCCTTCACGTCTTGTAAGCAGAATCCCTTTGTCCACACCCGTCATCTGCACTTCCACTTTCCTCCTTTCCGGCCCATGGCTTTCGTTCTCCTTCAGAAATCTCTCCAACAACCAACTGACCGGAAATTTCCCTGAATCTCTCACATCCATGAGCAACTTGGTCAGCCTGTGAGTTTCTTTCTTACATCACTGCCCGTGTTTCCATCCAAATTTGCAGGGCTTTATAGGCAAGCAGGCGGATTTTACTGTACTGCCGACATTGCGAATACTGTACATCTTGTTGTCATTTCTATTATCGTTGCCTCAGCAACGTCCCCATTCACACACCAGCATGTGAGGGAGTAGCTTGTAGCAGTCACAAGCTCCTCTTGATTGCGCTCTCAGCGCTCGTCTCTGTAATACTCACAGTTTGCTTGCCTTGTTGGTTGTGCTGCTGCACTGGCCCACATGCAAAGCACAGTTGACCATCTGCTTTCTGGTTGGCACGTGGCACAGAGCTGTCGATTTCAACTACATGGTCGGCACCATTCCACGGATCCTTGGAAATATGAGCAAGCTCTCAACTCTGTAAGTGCATGCAAATAACACTGAAATATGAGACTTCGTCTTAAGAAAATTGTGATCCTTTTAAGAAAGGGAATTCATAGAAACAAGGGATGGAGAAAACACACTTTCTGACTAAGTAGGGCCAATGGGGATGCTGCTAACTTGGTAGGCGTTATTGTTTGAGTCCACATCCACGTTACCATTTGATAGGCTGGTACGTCCAAACCTCTGGTTAGGCATAAGGCGTTTTAAGAAGAGAAGTTCTTATGCAAACAACAAGGTATATGGGTACAGGAGACTTATCACGAAGGTCCCCAGTTGATTGCTAGGTATCCAAATGACTGGAGCTTGAAGGGGACGAGATGACCGGTCGACACCTCTATGGCACCACCCATTTCCGCTTGTGCGAGTTACTGGTTCCGTGCAGTTGACAGGGGCTGCAAAGGGAGCATTTACTGAAGAGGCTTTCGTGGAATACATTCATTGGGAGTGCAGGCAGTGCTAAGGATCTCTCCCTTTATCCTCATGGTGTGAATCTCCACTCTCCACTGCACCCCTTGTTGTTGTTCCCCCTTCTCCTCCGCCCATCAGTTCTGCCACCAACACCAGCGGTCTCAAGTGCCCTGAAAACTACACCAGCTGCGGTGTGCCTCAGAATGCGTCCTCTGGCTTCTGCCGCACCTGCCCTGGCTTCTGCGCCACATGTGAGAAGTTCGAGTAAAATCAAGCATGTCTTTCAGCGGCTTGATCTGGTGCTATTGTTACTCCAAGTCTCTTCCTTTTTTAGGCTTCCTTGATGCGACTCATACGATGCCTCCGAAAGTGTATGCTTTCTATCACATCACCTGCTTTTGGGCATTGTCCTATCATCACAATCGGGTCACGAGGCCAAAGCATCTTAGCTCAAGCTGTTCACAATCAGGTCAACATGGCTACTTGACAGACCTACCTCTTATGTTCGAGCTTTCTCTCTGTGTGCAGGTGACAAACCCAAGCCCGCACCAGCAGTACTGTCACCGGTACCGTCTGTGGAAAGCACGGCCTCTTCGGGGTTTCCCTCGTGGACCATCATTCTGATCGTCATTGCTGTAGTTGCTGTTGCTGTAGCCACCGCTGTCATCCTATACTACTATTACTTCAACAAATGTAAGATTGAAAGCTTTTTTTTTCTCTCTCTCTCTCTCTCTCTCAGGAATACTATACGCCGCACCCCACTGTGTACCAATGA